GTGGGGGGGGGGGGGAGATTTGTGAAATGAGGAGGTAGAGCAGAAGCCATCTGAAGTGAAAGGGGACCCACTCAGAGAAAGAGGAGGCCCTGTCCCTGAAATGGGGCAAAAACTGCCTCAGTACTTTTTATTTGATTCACTTTGAATATAAAGTGCAGCAGGGGCCAGAACCCCAATTAAGGGTTCTTTTCCATTTTACTTCTGGCAGGTCTACATGCACCTGAACAGTCCTACCATGGCACAGATGCAGAAAGAAGCTAAACTGTGTGAATGCCCCATGTTGCAGCTAGATGGTTAAGGGCCACTTGGACATGTAAATGTGAAATAGGATTTAGGCACTAGTTTGCAGTAAGCAACCACTACACACTTACTGCATGCTACAAATGTCCATGCTCAGAACAAGCATAGAGTAGCTAAGCATAAGTGTAAATTCACCTTTTACTGAATTTTACAATAACCATAGATAAGGCCACACTTGCTGCAGGAGATGTTTTCCATCCAGAGAGGCTCTTTGGTGAGATGTGTAAAAAAACAAGCAAACAAACAGCTTCTTTTTATCAGGGTTCATGGGACCCTAAACTTTCATGCAGAGGAATGGGACCCTGTCAGCTGACAATGGAGCCAGCATTTCATTTTGTGAAAAGTCCCCTTGGCCCAAGACAAAAGGGCTGCACAGGCACAGCACAGATTACATATCCTGTGATGTCCTGCAGCTACTGTCTGCCAAGTCTTTTGTGGACCAGAGAAGAAAAATCCAAACTATGCTTGGTCAGAAAATGTGCCAAAAGCAGAGGCTTCCTGGTAAGTGGCACAGCCACTCATACCTGGGCCTTCCCAGATTCAGGATCTGCTCAGGGTCTTCTCTGTGAGGAAGGGAAAAGGCCTGGCCACAGGAGGCCAGCAGCCCAGGAGTTGACAGTCACATCTTGGTGAAGATTTTCCTGGTGGCAAGTCTCCCCAGTGCACCCTTCACCTCCTTGTTCCTCAGACTGTAGATCAAGGGATTCAGCATAGGAGTAACTACCGTGTAGAAGATGGAGACCGCCTTGTCCTGGCCTGTAGATGAGGTTGCTGAGGTGGGCCTCATGTAGGCAAAGACAGCTGTGCCATAGAAGAGGCTCACCACCAGCAAGTGGGAGGCACAGGTGGAGGCAGCCCGATGGCGACCTTCCACTGAGTGAATGCGCAGTATGGCAGCAAGGATACGGCCATAGGAGGCAGCAATGAGCAGGAAGGGCACCAGCAGTAGCAGGGTCCCAAAGACAAACACCACCACTTCTGCTGTGGTGGTGTCAGCTGATGCCAGTTTAATGACAGCTGGCACTTCACAGAAGAACTGGTTGATATGACTGGGGCCCTGGTAGGGCAGATGCAATGCAAAGGCATTGACAATCAGAGAGTTGAGGAAGCCACTGACCCAGGCTGCAGCTGCCATCCTGCTGCAAAGGTGCCGACTCATGATGGTGCCATAGTGCAGGGGGTAGCAGATGGCCACATATCGGTCATAGGCCATGATGGCAAGCAGCACACACTCAGCCATCCCAAAGGCCAGAAAGATGTACATCTGCAGGGCACAGCGAGCAAAGGGCAAAGCCTTGTGTACTGAGAGCAGATGCACTAGCATCTGGGGCACTGTGACCGAGGAGTAGCACATGTCCAACAGTGAAAGATGCAACAGGAAAAAATACATAGGGGTGCGGAGGCGTGGGTCAACCCCAATCAGCAGCACCATCACGGCATTCCCTGACAGGGTCACCAGGTACATGGCCAGGAAGAGCACAAACAGCAGTGTCTGTAGAACCATGCTCTCAGCCAGTCCCAGCAGCACAAACTCCACCACGGTGCTCCGGTTTTCCACTCCCATGTGCCTGCTGACTGCCACCTGCAAAGAAGCAGAGAGGGTGGAGTTCAGAGCCAAGATATCCAGAGCCATGTCAGCAGCTCCAGCCAAATCAATCACACTAAGATTCCCCCTGTTGTCAGATCCCAGTGACCTCTCCCCAGAGGAAGATGCTCTACCACACCAGCTAGGCCCTCAAGGAGCCCTCCCTGCAATGCAGGATACAGCTGCCTCCCTCTAAAACCCCCCAAAGCAGCTTCACATGGGTATTTGCAACCTTTTTGAAGAAAGGATCATTCTAAGGGGGTGCAATCCTGCTCCTATGGCCACAGAAGCATACCACTGTAGAGTGGATGCCACCAGCTACCAGTGCTTTGTGCGCCTTATTAAGCATGGAGTCATACAGGTGACCAGAGAGCAACTAGTGGCCTTAATTCATGGTTTGCCTGTTATGCCTGCAGAAGGAAAGGAAACAAGAAAGATGTTACCTCGACAGGCCCTAAGAAACTGAACACCCCGAAAGGCACCCAGAAAACCCAGTAGTTAAGCCTGCTTCTGACCAGCCATGCGTCCAAGAGCAGACATGCGATCAGGCTTGTATGTGGGGCCGGAGATCAGGATGGTTTCCCAACACAAATATAAAAAAGGTGTCTGTAAGTAGAGTATCCAAATGGAAATTAATACCCCTCTCCTCCAAAAAAAATTAAAAATAAAAAATTCAATGCAAGTCACTAAAGGGAAATTCAAGGCAACAAAAAACAACAAACACAGAAAAATATGTAGCTAAAAACTACATCATTCTCTTTGTCCAGGCAATTTGCAGATGAGGGTGTGGGTTCTAATGAAAAATGTTTTCATCGCATACATTCTGCACAGTTGAAAACTGTTTTTTCCACCAAAAAAGTTCAAAATAGACACTTCTCTAGCTTCCTGGGTTTTCAGCTCTTTGCAGTGTATAAAGATGAGTAGCAGATGAGTAAAGTATTTCATTCTATCAAAGTACAGTAGGGATGGGCAAAATATGATGCACGGGCTCTATCTGGCTTGTGGGGCCCCTAAAAATTTAGAAAAATAATATTTATCTGTCCCTGGCTGCCTGTCAAAGATGACAGGGAATAAGGGCAGTAGGACCCAGGGGAAGTCACCAGCAGGATCAAGCGACTGCAGAAGCAAGGCCTGGCAGGCCAGACCCCCACCCCACCCCTCCGTGAAAGGAAGCTGTGAAAGTAGCAGCAGGTAGGGGGAAGGGGCAGTGAGGAGGCACGCAGAGCTCAGCGACAGCTGGTCAGGAGTGTGGGTTCCACACTGGTGCAGGATGGCAGGAGCACGGGGCCAGACTGGCAGGGCTCTGGAGCCAGGCCAGCTCCCCCTCTCCCTGCTGGTGCAGCCCAGCCTGGCTCCATAGAGCCCTGCCGGCCCACGACCTGTGCTCCCGCTCTGAAGCACCCCACTCTGGGCCCCGTGCTTCCACCCAGCTGTCACTGAGCTCCACACACCCACTCACTGCCACTTCCTCTGCCTGCCACCACCACTTGCTTGCCACTGGCACCACTCCCCTCCACCCCTCTGCCAGTCACTACAGCACCATGTGATTCCCAACTGCAGCACTGGGCAGCAGGATGCAGCAGAAGCTGGCCCAACCTTTGTGATTCTCAGCTGGCCCTGTGTGGTGCCAACTGAGCTGTTCTGGCTCCTGCTGTATCCTGCAGTCTCATCTATGCAGCTGAGACATGGTGCCAGAGCAGCGAGCTGGGAGGGGGCAGGCAGTGGTGACATATGGGGGGCGGGAAGTGGCTTCGAGTGGAAGTGTGGGACCATGCTGGTGCCTCAGAGCCAGGAGCAGCAGGAGAAGAAAGCCCCAGCTTGGAGGAGCACTGCAGAGGGGCTCTGGGCAAATCCTCCCCTCTACACATGCCACAACCCACCCCAGCCACCTTCCCCCCTGACACACTCACAGCTCCCCGCAAACCCCATACCCACCCACAGCATATATCCACACACACACAAACATGCTCCCCCACCTCACATACACACACAGCCACACCCCACACACACACACACACACACACACACACACCCCTACACCCACACTCTCCCTCATACCCACAACCCCCCTACAATACAGGAAACCCTTGCTATTCACAAACTCAGGGTTCGCAGATTCAAATATTCGCGGGGGAGGGCAGAGCCAGGAGGTGGGGGGACAGCAAGCGCCAGGGGCATGGAGGGAGGCAGCAGCAGCAGCATCTTGTTCCCCAGAGGCAGCCACAGTGGCACTCGGGGGCAAGGGGTCAGTCCCCAGGTGCTGCGGGGGAGCCCCAGGGATGGGGAGGGAGGCAGCAGCAGCATCTTCTCCCCCGGAGGCAGCCACAGTGGCACTCGGGGGCAAGGGGTCAGTCCCCAGGTGCTGCGGGGGAGCCCCAGGGATGGGGAGGGAGGCAGCAGCAGCATCTTCTCCTCCATTGCTGCCAGAAGCAGCCACAGCTGCACTTGGAGCAGCCGCAGCAGTGCTCAGGGGGCAGGGGGGGAAAGGGGTCGGTCCCCAGGTGCTGCGGGGAAGCAAGGGAGGCTGTGGGGCCTGATGGGGAGCCCCGTCAGTCTGACAGGGAGCCCCATCAGTATTCACGGGGATCTCTGGAACATATCCCCCATGAATGGTGAGGGTCTCCTGTATATAGGAATAAGACTGCATTTTAAGCTATTGTGTGATTACCTCTGTGTACACTACACAAACACATGTAAATCAGGACAAAAATTTTTTTTAAATCAAATAATGAATTTTGTAGTAAATGTTTGATTTTTATCATATAATTTGATATTTTTCTGGTTCTGAGATGGCAAACCGTTGCTAAAAGGTGTACTTCGTGGGGGGGTGAGTAAGGGGTGCGACTTCTGGTCCCAAGATGGTGACCAGGGGGTGGGGCACCTGTCAAGGGGAGGGTCTACCCTTGTGGCCCTTGATGGCTTGCCAAAACTCGGTAAGAGGCCCTCTGGACAAAATAATTGCCCGCCCCGGATGCAGAGTCTACAGCTTATTAATGTTACCTCTGTTGTGGCTTATGGTATGATGAATAACCTGGTGATAGATAGATATGCAGGGACGGACTGCAGGCTGCATATATATATATATATATATATATATATATATAAACACACTGTGTGTGTGTGTGTGTGTGTGTGTGTGTGTGTGTGTGTGTAAACATAAACACTTTCCAGAAAATAAAATCCGGGATCTATTTCTAACTTAATATCCTGATAATAGCTTAAGACCAGAAAGCAGTTTCACATCCCTCCTCATTTTTTCTCCGTTTTTCAACACTTGCCTGCCAACTGCCCAAAATAGGTACGTGAGAGCTAAGCTAATCCTAGCACCTTACAAGAGGAAATGGGTGAGACAGAGTGTCATGATATGGCCACCCCTGGGATGGCCGTGATGTCCCTAGGGCACTATGACCATGCTGGCTCCGCCCTATGGGGGCCTACTAATCCCACCTGCCACATCTTGTTGTTATGAATGATGGATTGGGAGGCTGCCCTCAAGTTGCTGCTTGGTCACAGTCCTGACAGATTCGCTAAACCCTGTCGGTTGCTGGACCACTTTATTGGGCCCCACACTCAGGAGGGGTCTTACAATACCCCCCAGCCTTATGGGCCAGATGTGTGACTCCAAAACCATCCCTTTATCACGCCCCATGCCTCACAGATGTTATGTAAACATTGTCTCCTTGTGTTGAGGCCTCAACTTAGTCCAGCCTCAGTAATTATGCCTCCTCTGGCTCTGGGGTCCGCTCATCCCCCCACCATCACAGCGCCTACACTGGCACTGGGGTCTGCTCACCCCTGCCCCATCACAGTCCCCATCCTGGTGCTGGGGTCCCCACACTGTAGTGGGCCCCCAATGAGGCCTCCTCCTTACCCAATAGCTTCAACCTGATCCACCATTTACAAACAGAAATCAAAATATGAGCCCCTGGGCTATAACATAATGCAAACAGTTCAATCTGTGCTCTGTCCCTTTAAAAGCATTAAACCTCCTCCCTAGCACTATATGTCTTGCAGGCCAGGGTTCCTGGTGAGCTCCTGGAGCTTCTTAATCCTACCAGAAGTAGAACAGGCAGTCAAGCATCTCTACTTATCTTCCTCTAAGAAAGCTCCTTCCCCTTTGGCTGCTGACAGAGAACTGACCCTCTAGCCCCAGCCCTGGGATTTATATGTGCCCAAGGCCCTGCCTGTTCTGGTCAGCTGACCACCTGCAGGTACAG